TCACATCCACGTCCACACACATCCACGTCTACACACTGTTGTATTGTGGGTGTTATTATTTCAGTGGTCAGCAGAGAAAGGTCTCTCATATTTCTTCAAGATGGCTCCAGAACAGATACCAATGATTGAAACAGGACAGGATGTTGCCAAGCAAAGAGCGAACGAAACAGAGGACCAGGAAGAAACTATTTGCACAAGCTGGAGAGACAAGATTTACAGGAACAAGTTCATCTACACCGTCTACCTGGCCATAGCGTTCGGAATGTTGGTAAGTAAACTGGACATGATTTGTTTTGCTGTTTTACTAAACGACTTGCATGAACTATCTCACACACACACATTAAGCCCCATAGGCTTTTAGCTTAGGGGAACATATTTTGGATTGTCAAGAGATTGCCATCTTCCCGAGGCAGAGCGTTTAAGTTACTATAAAAGTCCAGTTTCCACCATTGCCGAACTAGGCTGGAATTCCGGAGTTACATTTTGGCTGGACTAACGAGTCTATGCATTGTCCATCAAAACCGCGTGACGTACTCAACATCCGGTTAGCAAATAACATGGATCTCAACGTGTAGATTTCGGTCGACTGCAGGATTTGGAAAGCATGTGTACCACCAACTGGGCAAATCGTTTCATGTTTATAATTAAGGTGCTCAAGTGATTTGATGCACTTCTAGAGCTAAGACCTGTTTTATTACAATATAGATCTTGATTATCGAACAGATCGTCTTGACAGGGCGCCGCCATTTTGTTTAAGTGAGTGAGTGAGTGAGTTGGGTTTAACGCCGCTTTTAACAGTATTCCAGTTATATCACGGCGTGTCAGCTTTATGTGGGAGGAAAGACCGAAGTGACGCAGGTCTCAGACGTTTACCACTTCGATGAAACCCACGAGCACGGGTATGGTGCTGACAAACCTAGAAACATAATCGGGGCGAGCCGGGACTCGAACCCACAATCATAGATTTCTGGCGTGCCCAAGGGACGCAACTCTGCACAGCGAGTCGCGGCGCCTTAGACGACTGGGCCACCCGTGCCCCCCATTTTGTTTAAAGCAATTGCAGGTGATACGAGAGGTAGAATCTGATCGGTCAGTTGGAGGGACGTAGAAGGCCACTGGTGGCGCTTAGATCGAGGCTGGAAATTCCAGACTAGTTCGGCAAGGGTGGAAACTGGATTTTTATGGTCAGTTGACGCCCTTGCCTTTGGGAAGATGAGGAGTGGCTGTCTGACAGCCATTTTGAATTCTAATTTGGATGCTTTGATCAAATGTGAATCAAATATTGTCAGAAACACACACAACAAGTTACAGTCACAACAACAACCATCAAATAGTACAAACCATAAACAAATTTTGGCTGCCCAATCTAAATGTATGATGCATGGGTTCTTGATCCAGTCAGACGCCAGCAGTGATTCACCTATATGTTACTACCTCCTCCATTCGGAACTTTCACAAATGAAAATCTACACAGGACACATAGTCATTCCTTTATTCGGTGGAGATGCTATGGCGAAATATCTACAATGATATTTTTATCCTCATCCAGAACCTGTCCTTTTAGTTCCCTTTTAAGGAACAGGACGCGACCTCCTATGGAGTTCTCTCGAGATCTTAATGCAGAGAGATATGATTTTAATGCGATCGTTTACATGCTGCCAAGATATAGCTTGGACAGTGGTGTGCAACAACGTTCACTCACCCACTTCTTCAAAAGCTGAAAGATGGTACTTGTTGTTACCTTGTCTGGCGCTCGGCATTAAGGGGCTAAAACAAGGAACGGTCGGCTCGGAGTCAGTATACTGTGCCTGAGTGGGGTATTCATGTTAAACTGCGGCATGGTATCTCAGTGAGCTAGCACTATAAATCGGCATCAGTCAAACACACACACGTACATGCACGTCGCTATATAAGTGCAATAATCTTGGACGCGACGTTAAACCCCATTTAACCTCACCTCACCTCAAAAGCTAAAAGCGGTTTCACTCTGTAATATTCTCCAAGGATCAACAGTTACATGATCAAAAACACCCAACATTAAACTTTGAGTCCCATATTAGTATGTTTTGTACCCACCAGGGTGTGTGTATCGGACAGAGAGGACCCTCCTTCCTTGACCTTCAGATAATCACCGACACGGACGTGGAGCGGGGATCTGCGTTCTTTACGTTATTGTCCGCCGGCTATCTTTTCGGGTCTCTCGCCAGTGGCTTGGTGTACGACAAGTTCAACAAGGTGCTCACGATGTTCTTCTTGGGGCTCGGCTTGGGCATCAGCACAGGGATTCTGCCGTTCTGTTCACTCTATGGCTTAATGGTGGCCATCCATCTCATCACAGGGGCATTCATGGGCGGAGTCGACACATGTGAGTTGAAATCTTCAGGCATCAACCTTGGTTGCCAGTGTAATACAAGCATAAGCCCATAGGAATTAGGATATGAGGAGTTTGGATGTTTTTTAAACATTTTTGTCTGAATATATACTGAGTCAAATTAAAAACTTCATATTTTTAAAAGTAATCCCATTTATGATATACAACGGACAAATGTATCAGAGAAGGTCATTTTTAATCATCAATGTCCAAAGAAGGAGTTTAATTAACGGTGGTAACCATAATTTGTTGCAAGCACCTACGGTATTCGGTAATAACATCAACAGTTTAAATCATAAGTTCCAAGCACGACAATGTGATGGCACACAAGTTCAGTAGCGTGTATGACCACCATGTGCGTTGACAACTGCCACACAAGGCCTCCGCATGGACCTTGTGATGCTTGTGAACACATGATTGGGAAGACGACGCCATTGTTGCTGCAAAATGGTGCAAAGATCTTGCAAATTCTGTGGTTGGTTCTGGAGAGTGCGCAGACTTCTGCCAAGAGCATCCCAGACGTGTTCGATGGGATTGAGGTCTGGAGACCTTGACGGCCAGTCCATGACGTTGACTCCCGCATTCTGAAGGAAATTCCTTGTCAAAATTGCTGTGTGGGGTCTGGCATTGTCGTGTTGGAAAATCAAACCGGGTCCATGTGCTGCCATAAAAGGCAGAAGTTCTGGTTCCAGTACCTGGTCGCGGTAAGCAGCAGCGTTGAGGTTGCCACGGATGACAAGAAGCCTGGAACGTGCATTGCCACAGAAAGCACCCCACACCATGACACTTCCGCCTTGAAATCTGTCAACTTCCTGTACACAACACTGGGCGTAACGTTCATGACGGCGCCTCCACACCCTCGCCCTACCATCAGCAAATCGAAGATTAAATCGGGATTCATCACTGAAGACGACTTGATTCCAATTCCTCTGAGTCCATCGTAAGTGTTGCTGTGCCCACAATTGACGTTGACATCTGTGTAATTGAGTCAGAATCGGCCCGCAGTATGGCCATCGTGCTTGAAGGTGAACAGTTCTCAGACGGTTTCGAACAGTTTGCGCACTTAGTCTACCCCTAAACAGTTCAATTCTGGTTGATGTAGCCGGCAAAAATCGGTTACAGAGGTGACGTAAGACAATCTGACGATCCTCTGCATGTGACGTCACACGTGGTCGCCCTGGCCGAGGGCGATCAGCGGTGGTACCCGTTTGCTGTGGACGCGTCTGTAAATCATAAACAGTCCGTCGACTACAGCCCATCGTCCTTGCGACTTCAGCTACGGACGTTCCCGTCTGCAACATGCCGATGGCTCGACATGCAGGGAAAGTGTACTATTGGAAAGTTGAAGTAAAGCCTCTTGCCAGACAGAGTTGTGAAGTGTTTTTTGTCACTCTGAATCTCTATGCATAGATCTAAATATGAAACAGACGAGGCGGTCTCACTTGTCTTATGTGTTAATATATTGCCATGTTGCCATGGACACTTATTGTGCTCCACTTCTTATAGTGACATGCTTTTAATAAGAAAATTAGTAAGAAGTAATACTTCTATGCAACAAATGGTGGTGTAAATTGAAACCTTTTCCTGATCAGGTGATTCTGAGATATCTATATTTTGTCAGTCCCTCTCCTGTCTGAAAAATGTGGAATAAATAAGAAAATCTGCATTAACAAATCACTGATAAGGAATCTTGTACTTATATTATTATGTAGATATTCCTAAAAATAAACGTCAGGTAAAACAGGTTTTCAGAGCTGATGGGGTCTGATGTTTTGCTTGGATTGTCAGTATGTTGTATTGTTAAAGGTCCAGTTTAATACCATGTTATACATAGTATCATTGATGCCGTCTCTCATGTCAGCTGACCTGTTTCAGGTGGGAATGCAGAGCTGGTTCGTACATGGGGGAGCAATGGACGCTCGGCCATGCAAACAGCTCATTTTGCATTTGCCTTTGGTGGAGTTATCTCCCCTCTTATGACCAAGCCCTTCCTGTCGCCATTACCAGATGTGATCAACGCTACAACAGCTCCACCCAATGTTGGGTTCAGCGGGATGAATATCACAGTCACCTCAGCTTATATATCCTCCAATTCAACTTTGACCCCAATTGAAGAGAAACAAACAACAATAGTATTTTATGCTTATTTAATTTCTGCAGTATTGACAACATTCTTTGCTTTTCCATTTTTGATAACATATTGTCGTGAAAAATCTCAGATGAAGAAGCGAACTGCAGGGGAGGCCACTCCGGAACCCCCAAACATGTCACGTGCTGTGTTCATCTTTACGATAGGAATGATATGTGTAACCTACATGCTGTACTGTGCTGTCGAGGACAGCTTCGCAGCATACCTGATGACCTTTGTCGTCAAGCATCTACACTGGAGCAAGTCTAGAGGAACGGAATTAACATCAGTATATTGGGCATCCTTTGCTGGGGGAAGATTTCTAGGGATCTTCTTTGTAAAATTTCTCGCTCCAGTGAAGTTGCTATTTATATGCTGCACTTCTTTAATAGCGTCTCTAGTCGCTTTTCTTGTTTTTGCGCAGTACGATATACCTGTAGGCATTTGGATCAGTTCGGTCACAACTGGACTGTCAATGTCCGTTTTCTTCCCAACAGGGTTGACTTGGACGGAGGAGGAGTTGTTAAATATGTCCGGGAGAGTTGCATCCGCTATTTTGATAGCTTCATCTTTGGGGACGACGGTTAACCCCATAATTCTGGGGTATCTTATGGATGAACACAGTCTCATGTGGTATGCGTATCTCCTCACGGCAGAAAGTATAGCATGTCTCCTCATGTTCCTCATCCTTCTCATCTACGCTCACACGCTCCTGAAAAAGAGGAAACACGGCACTGATATAACAATAGAGGTAAAAGCCAATGGTTTCTCGTCACAGGATGAAGAAAGGTTTCTGTGATCTGGTCAAAACTGGACAAGCTGTCTAGTTATGCAAGACTCATTGCCACTGCTGTTTTTTTATCTATACCATATTTACCATGATAAGTATTCCGGGCACTTAAGACAATTGGCAAAGGGGAGCGCTTATTAAAACCGGACAAGTGTTAAATTTTTTTTCAGAGATCAAGCGATGAAACTAAAACGTTTTCTATAATCATTACTGGGCAATTATATACCCATTTTCTGTGCTGCTCTCTAAATAATATACACAAGAAAATATGGACTATAGTCTTATACTGGTGCTTTTACAAATTACTTACAGATTGTTTACAAGTTGGTCACCGAGTGACTATTGAAATATCGGAAATTGAAAACGAAGAAGGGGGATCCTTGGGGTTGCCATGGTAATGGAATCTAAGGACCCCTTGCATTTGTAACATCAGGATGTAACAGGGACTACTTATTTCGAATTTCATTCTTATTTTTCAACAAGGGAAGCCCATACGCAATAGGCAGTGTCCAATATTTAGTCAAGGACGTTCATCAACCATTACCCCATTCTGTAGAAATTCTTCTCTTTGAAGTGGCGGTTACTAATGGATATTATCATAACCAAGACGTTGGATTTGCTCACAGTTTTTAAATCGCTAATATCCTGATCAAATTGAATGCATGTGTTTTTTACATACCTAGTCTGAAAAAAACCCACCTGCCCCCCTCCCTGGCCACTGGATAGTGTTACACTTGCCTTTGCATGTGTTTGTGATGGGTGCCACAGTTGGGGCAGGATACGCTCACCTTTTTTGACACTGATTCATAATATAGTAATAATAATAATAGTACAATCGACTCAGATTGTGGCAGTGATTTCTTGTGAATATGGAAAGGGGTCCATTTATTTATTGTAATGCTTCTCAATATTTTGATGATATTTGGACAACAGGACACTTTCCTCCTTCTTGGCATAATCCCATTGTGTTCCAATATCAATACCAGGTCAGAATCATACAGATCCATCTCACAATCGACCTATTTCGTTAACTAGCTGTGTTTGTAAAACGCATGGAACGCATGGTCAAAAATCGACAAGTATGGTTTACAGAAACCAGTGATCTTATTACCAATATTCAATGTGGTTTCCACAAAAATTGAAGTACAACTGACTGTTTGGTTCGTTAAGAGTCATTCATTAAAAAATTCATCGTCAATAACCAGCATTCACTATCGATCTTTTTTTACCTAGAAAAAGCTTATGATACAACATGGCTGTTTGCCTCATTTTATATCACAGTTTTTAACAGACAGGCAATTTCAAATTCGTGTTGGATCAACCATGTCTGATCATTATTATCAGGATCAAGGTAAATATACAGAAGGCAGTAGTTTGTCTGTCACATTGTTTAGTATAAAAATCTATAGTCTATCAAAAGTGTTAAATGACTCAATTGATGGGTCATTGTTTTTGGATGATTTTAATATTTCAAGAGTTAAAAATATGCATAGTATTGAAAGACAATTAGTTGTGTCTTTATAAAATTCATGTGGTCACTTGACAATAGTTTTACATTTTAAGACCAATTGTACACATTTCTGTCGAAATAAACCTCATAAAGACCCGAACTATTTTTGGATGATGCTCCAATTAAGATTGTAAAAGAAACCAAGTTTTGGGGATTACCTTTCGACCTTGATTTGACGTTTTTAACATATTAAATATCTGAAGACAAAATGCCTGAAGGCCCTAGATTAGATGTAAATCGACTCAAATTCACAGTAGGGAGGGGATCAGTCAATCCTCCTTCCCTTATATAGATTACAAATATGCTCTAAATTGGAATATGGCTCCATTGTGTATGCTGGAGCCCGCAAGAATAATTTAAAAAAAAAACTCGATTCAATCCATCACCATAGACTTAGACTATGTCTTGGTGCCTTTTGAACATCTATTGACAGCCTCTATGTGGAGGTTAATAAACCTTCTTTAAAACAATGCAGTACTAAATTTTGTCTCTTCACTATATTACGGAATTTCGTTCCCATCCCTCCAATCCTGCTTATGACTCCGTCTTTAATCCCCTCTATGAAGAACTCTTTCAGAAGAAACCAAAGCTGGTTCCTCCACTTGGAATTCCGATCAAATCTCATATTTTTGCTGCCAATCTAGATCCGGATATTATCTCTCCTTCACGGCTTTTGTCTACTCCTCCCTGGCAGTTGTTAGACATTTCCCTGACATGTTCTATAAAAACTGACACAAACCAACTAGTATGTCAACAGGAATATGAACAATTGAGAAATAAATACGATACTCACCATTCAATCTTTACTGAAGGATCCAAATACGGAAGCAACGTAGCAAGCGCCACTGTCGTTGGATCAAAAATTATATCATCTAGAGCTAGAGTACCAGACAAAAGCTCTATTTTCATTTATGTGTGCCAACTTCTTCACCTGATGAGTTTGAAGCGTGTATTTTCTTTCTTGTCCTCAGGCACTGAATGTATCTCTGAATCATCCAATTATTTTAGAGATTTTGGAACTATAAATGATTAAGTCTTTGAAAGGTATTAAGAAGTGATACACATTGGGAAGAGAATTTATGGATGTCAACTTCTTCACCTGGTGAGTTTGAAGCGTGTATTTTCTTTCTTGTCCTCAGGCACTGAATAACGTATCTCTGAATCATCCAATTATTTTAGAGATTTTGGAACTATAAATGATTAAGTCTTTGAAAGGTATTAAGAAGTGATACACATTAGGAAGAGAATTTATGGATGTCAACTTCTTCACCTGGTGAGTTTGAAGCATGTATTTTCTTTCTTGTCCTCAGGCACTGAATAACGTATCTCTGACGCATCCAATTATTTCAGATATTTTGAAAATTTGCAATGATTAAGTCTTTGAAAGGTATTAAGAAGTGATACACATTAGGAAGAGAATTTATGGATGTCAACTTCTTCACCTGGTGAGTTTGAAGCGTGTATTTTCTTTCTTGTCCTCAGGCACTGAATAACGTATCTCTGAATCATCCAATTATTTTAGAGATTTTGGAACTATAAATGATTAAGTCTTTGAAAGGTATTTAGAAGTGATACACATTAGGAAGAGAATTTATGGATGTCAACTTCTTCACCTGGTGAGTTTGAAGCGTGTATTTTCTTTCTTGTCCTCAGGCACTGAATAACGTATCTCTGACGCATCCAATTATTTCAGATATTTTGAAAATTTGCAATGATTAAGTCTTTGAAAGGTATTTAGAAGTGATACACATTAGGAAGAGAATTTATGGATGTCAACTTCTTCACCTGGTGAGTTTGAAGCGTGTATTTTCTTTCTTGTCCTCAGGCACTGAATAACGTATCTCTGACGCATCCAATTATTTCAGATATTTTGAAAATTTCCAATGATTAAGTCTTTGAAAGGTATTTAGAAGTGATACACATAAGGAAGAGAATTTATTGATGTCAATTTCTTCACCTGATGAGTTTGAAGCGTGTATTTTCTTTCTTGTCATCCAATTATTTTAGAGATTTTGGAACTACACAATGATTAAGTCTTTGAAAGGTATTTAGAAGTGATACACATAATGAAGAGACTTTATGGATGCCAACTTCTTCATGTATCATGTAACCTCAGCAGTGTTACTGCAGAGGAATAAACCAACTTGGATGAATCCAGTGAGTTGTTTGCATCTCTATTAATTAAATATGTTGCGCTAATCACCTATGGATTATTTCAACACACCATTGTTATATTATGTTCATATTGATTGTTGAGCTGTTTGCCATGTTACCGAAGTAAATGAATAAGAAACCTTCACATCTCCTCTTGTTTTTTAGTTGAATGGGTGACAAAGGCACCAAAGGCTGGAGCTGCTGAAATATTGCTCGACCATAATAGAATGTTGACGTCATCCTTTTTGTCACGCAGACAGATTTTTGTCACTCTGAATCTTTATGCACACATAAATATGAAACAGATGAGGCAGTTTCATTGGTCACTTTTATTTCTAGTTCAAGTGGGTTAAACAGTGGAAGGGAAATGGCTATTTGACTGTTATTGAACTATATCAGATCATCGATATACCTGAAGCTTAAGTGAAACGTCTTGGCCAATTTGCCTTGTTTTGATTTGCCAATCTGAGAAGAAATTCTGATTCATATGCATAAAGAAACAGATCAACAAGAAGGGGAGCGCAATTTGTGACCATGGGATGCCTACTTCTAGCATTAATGTATTTCTTCTAAAGTTTAACAAAGATCTTTTCAATGTCAAGCATTTCACATGTTGTTTTCTCAGTGAACTTCAGAAAACATTTAATTTCATTTTTGACAATTGAACCTCTGAAGACTATGAGTAGCTAAGTACTGGATATTAAGGGTAACCATGTTGAGTGAAAAATGCCGCATGGATCAAGGAATGAATTTTGTTGCGTGGGATAGTCATGTACCATGTTAAAAAATCGAATGTTTTGACATTATTGAACTTGGTCCTTTTCTGAGATTGCAAAAAATACTGGCAAATCCTTGGAGCTTTTAAGAATCCACATGGTATTAGTTCCATACTTTCTGTGGAAAGTCCTTCCTTGATTGTATTGAGGATTATGGTAAAAGTTTGAGACAGGAATGTTGTGGTACATTAGTTGGACTCAACAATATGTCTCTCTTTGTGCGGATTTGTAGGGAGCTTTGAAATCCAGTACAAAAGAGTTTTAGAGTCATGACAAAAGTTCATGCATGGTTTTGCCAGATTTCTTCCTCAGTTAAAATACTGGCCTCACATGTGTTATTTTTTCATATGTCACTCATACCAAATTCTGTGGTCAAACAATTAATGTAGTGATGCGTAGATATCATGGTGATGTTATTCAATGCTTTGTCGTGTAGGGCACCCAGAACAATTTGAATGGGTCCATTTGTGCCTTCGACCAAAGACACCATGACACATTTACTTAACTCACTATCAACAGGTTCCTCTTCTCTTTTGGTCCATTTTTGGTATGTTGGTTGGTTTGTTGTTTAACGCCCCACTCAGGAATATTTCAGGTATATGACGGCGGTCTGTACATAATCGAGTCTGGACCAGACAATCAAGTGACTGATATCATGAGCATCGATCCATGCAATTGGGATACGATGACATGCATCAACCAAGTCAGCGAGCCTGAGCACCCGATCCCATTAGTCGCCTCTTACCGCAAGCATGGGTAGCTGAAGACCTATTCTACCCCGGACCTTCACAGGCCTTTTTGGTATGTCTTCAGACAGCATCCATAATGATGTTTTAAAGTTGTGATCCCAATCAGTTGGAGCCTACTCACGATATTTTGGTCCATATTTGAAAAACTTTCTAAGGTGTTATTGTCAACAATAGAGACCAGCAGGTTGAGAACGTTACATCATGAGCTGCTAAGTCCACATTCTGCAGCACGTTCCTATAATTGAACAACTTTGATGAAAATGTTGGTGCTTCCTAAAATTGAATGACTGCAGTAGCCAACGCATGGTGTTATGGACATGCCGAACATACACTGCTACTTCTTTAGTGAGGGTACATTTAAGTATACGAGGGCTGGTCAAAAAGTTCTAATCCTGACTAACTTTCAACTATGGGCCATAACAAAGAGAACTATTCAATGTAGTACTTTGAGTAGTTCACTGCAAATGCATTTGGTCAGTTGAGGCCGTTTGTATATTAGTGACGGCCAGTTGAAAGTAATAGGGGTCAAAATGGACATAGAAATAAATCCGAGCAGTCATCAAGTTTTTGGCTTTTGAGAAAGTACTCCTCAAGAAATTCCACTGTTAAACGTTGGTCAGCGATGTTTAAGGCTGGGAGAACAAGCTTTGATGATGACCCTAGGTCTGGACCTCCCTCAAATTCCATCAATGAAGATTCAATCAACTTGAGGAAGACACGAGTCAAAAGCCATGGATGCATTGAAAATATTATACATGAACATTTACAGATGAATAAGATATCTACTCGTTGGTTGCCAAAAGTTTCAGATCTTAAGGAAAAAAGAACTGGCATTGCCAGAGACAATGTAGAGCTAATTGAGGAGGATTTCGTCAAATTGAAAAAGAGATCAGTAACGGTTGATGAAACATGGGTCTACCACAATGATCCCCTGTCAAAACGTCACTCCATGGAATAGTACCATTCGACTTCCCCGGCACCAAAGAAATTCGAGTCTTCAAGATCAGTGAAGAAATTTATGGCCACTGTTTTCTGGGATGCAAAGGGTGTGATCCTTGTTGATTACTTAAAAGTCAAAGACGATTACTGATGCCTACTTTGCTGCTTTGCTTCATCGCCTGAAAGATTCAAAGAAAAGCTACGAGGAATGAAGACTGCAGAAGTTCTACTATTTCATGACAATGCTTCTTCTCACAAATCTAAAGTAAAATTGAAAACACTTTCACAACTGTTGGTTTTGTTTTTTATGCGTAGAACCTATTAACCAGCAGTCACATAATATCATAACAGCATATATATGTATACTGAATCAACGAGCCAGGTAATATGATCATTGTATCTAGAGAATTCTCCATTGCAATAAAAGGGGCATATTTAATATTAAATTCCCAAGATGGCTGAACATTTCAAAACAATGCAGGATCAGATTCTATGAAATCAGATCTCAGATGACAATACGGCGACGTTTCGGGATAGATCATTATACCGTTGTCAAGCAAGATTGAATGATGAACATGGTACAGAATATATAAAGTAGGTGGAGGATTAACAGGAACAACAATTGCATTGATGTCAGCATCTCATAAGGAAGGTGAGGTGTTTGATGGTTTGAATGTGAGTAGTATAGAGTCAGTAGGCAGGAACCTTTTTTGGTTGATCCGGTTGATCCAGGCGGATGCGAAGGTGATTGGTTGATCCAAGTCACGTGATCGGATAGGATGACTCATGCATCAACAGCGCGTTACAGGTGAGGGGAGGGAATGAAAGGTGTGTGTGTATAAGACAGGAAAGAATTCGTAAGTAAACAAAAGTAAAGGGTATTCGATAGAGCTATGCGTATGGCGTGCTGTCCTGAATAGACAAGCAGCCCAGTTTGAATCGAGCGCGCTGGACAACTCACGTGACCACGTCGTTTCAAATTGTTTAATGGTTTCGTTTATTTCAAGCGTTAGTAGAAATTACAATTAGTCTACAACTCACGTAGTCGTTTCAAATTGACAGCGCTCGCGAGAGCGTGCGAGTTGGTTTGATGAATGCAGGGTGTGTCTTGAAAGTACGACCATACCGCAATAGAGACGATGACAAATAAGCCCTACGGTTTGAGTTTTAACCGTGTAACATATTATTTTGAAAATAGATAGAAAACCGATAACTACATGTAGCAATGTGACGGCACGAAGCTAGGTTTGTTGGGAAAGTGATGGAAGCAATCTATAGCACATTTTCATGTTTACAATACTCACCCTTAATTCGAAGAGAGAACAGAGTTTATCATGGAAAAATGTTTCACGAGGAAAATGTTTTATTGGAAATATAGGTTTATTCATAGCTAATGTATAGCAGAGAGACTAAGCCACCGACCGCCCATAACAATGTCAACATACCCCGGCCTTACAATTAATGTCAACATACCAGCCTCGCCTGAAGCATCCCATTCATAAATGGTGTGAGCAGTGTCCCGTATTTATGATACGTTAGGGAAGATGTGTTGTACATTTGTTATTTTAAAAGGGAGTTATTTCAGAGAGGATATATATGGGTATTCCCCCCTCATTAAACTTTTCTTTCGTTGGTGTCTATTAAACGTATCCGGTATTTAATACATTTGAATGATGTAGGAAAAGTATGTGCGTGAAGATGTTGTACCTATATCCGAACACGAATGTATGACACAGGAAGGGTGTGTGGAATGCACTCGTCCTTGTAAGGGTAAAATACGCGTTTAAACTCACCATTTAAATGATGATGACATTACTTTTTAGATGTATAATTGGTATCAGTGAGTGAGTGAATTTAGTTTTACGCCCCACTCGGCTTTATTCCAGCTCTAGGACGGTGGTCTGTCAATAAACGAGCTTGGACCAGACAATCCAGTGATCAACAGCATGAGCAGCGATCTGTGCAACTAGGAACCGACGGCACGTGCCATCCGAGTCGGACCAACCGATCCCCGTCAGTCGCCGATAAGCATGGGTTACTGAAGGTCGATTTTTATAACCCGGGACCTTCACGGGTGTAGTATGACGAAGACTATATACAAATATGCCAAAAAAATGAGAAAAAACAAACAATTCATTCGTATCATTTATTGATTCGAGTCAATCGGTTCCATACAAAGCCGTGATATACGAATGGACAATAGTATTCACTCTGGAACATTATTTAGTCACTCATATACACATGCTGCTGCTGCTCGAAGGCCCTATTGTTTAAACAGCGAGTCCATGTTTTGAAACACATTTCGCACTGTTGAATGTTTCCTTTTCTACGCTGTTTTAAGGTTGAATGGTTGTCTATAGTCTATGCTTTATCCATTGCTTGTAACGATTTCCGTCCAGGAGGTCACAGTTTCACCATTCCTCTCACGTAGAGGGAAATTCGGCGTTTCTTATCGTTCAAACGCCTCAGTTTACGAGGTGTTTTCAAAATATGAATCAAACTAGACGCGTGGCGTTGACTCGGCATTCTCTTCTGACTGTTAGACTGATATAGTAGTGATGGGTATTTATGCCTAATCGTTCTGCTCACGATCATCATCCTCCTCCTCGTCATCACCGTCGTTATCCTCTGCAACGCTATCAGATTCAGTCTCACTTTCTATTTCCGGCATATCCATCAAAGGCAGGATCTCTTTCATCTTGGGTTTTAGGAGGAGTTTGATTTTATTTTTGAGAACGGATTGTTCCGTGGAAGGATTCATGTCTCCCAGGTTGTATAGCATGTTTTGAAACAGAGGTGCCTCTTTAAAGTACGTGGTATATTCCATCGCATAGTTGAGAGTACTACGCACTAGATCCTCCCACCTCAGTTTCAATCTTCTCTCAATCCATTCTTGCGTTCGTCCCTGTCGCTCGTACTGTTTTTTCTGCAGTTTCATCTTGTCATGAAACGTATCGTACACCTGTTTCCAGATGCGTTGTAAGCCTACATTTTGCCACTCCTCGGCTTCCATATTAGTGAATGTTGACTTCCCACGTGGAGGTTTGACGGCAAGACCACTGCCTTTCTGGGAAGAGGCTAGGTCGTCAAAGTCACTGTCATCGTCATCACTCTCGAGTCTGGCACGCTTTCTCTTAGGTTGAAGGCTATTGGCCGGACACCAGTGTTTGATATGTCGCTGTAGATCGTGCATGTTATCTATCAGCACCCCGCAATCTGCGCAAGCCGTGGCCATAGTCAATGATGTCTCACTACTCGTGTCTGAATCGGTTTCAATTGGAGTGAGCTGATGTTGGGGCAATCTCTCTTCTTGTGTCAGAGGACTATCCAGAGATTCTGTTGTAGTCAACTTCTCCCTACGCAGATCAGGTTCAGACTGTGCTGTTGTTCTCCTGTTTTCCTCATTTATGAGGTTAACATGCAGTCGATCCTTATCTTTGGTGGTAGGTTTTAGATCGATGGTGAGTTGTCCATAGGGTGTTTCAGTAACCTTTTCATACATAGCCATAAAGTGATCCATATGTTCGGGGAAAATTCTACGAGCGAAGAGTTTGATTTGCTGTTTATCTATGGGGGAATGAAACAGGGTCACATAATGCGCATTCAAAGCAATGTCTCTCGATTCCTTACCTCTCGGAAACAGATTTTGTATCAAGAGAAAGATCAATACATTCTTGTGATGTGAGGTTTGAGTAAACAACCGCGAAATACGCTTGTCGTGCTTTGCTTCGGCCAGGAAATCATCCAGGACCAACACGTTCTGTTGACGAGCATCAAAGTAATCCTCGTCCAAGATATCGTAGGGAATTCCTTTGACAAAGGTCAGCTGAGGCAGCTGCTCACCGAGGTCCTGATATAATGGCTGCCATTGAGTATAACACCAAACGATGCGGGTAGGTTGGGGTTGGATCAGGCCATGCCGGAGAACATGAGAGGTAAACACAGACTTTCCACAACCACTGGGTCCCACAACGAGCGCATTTGAGGGAATCAGGAACTTGAATTGTTCTCGAAGATCAGATATGCATGGTAAATGAGGCATCCACGAGTTGACTTGCGATGGCGGCGGCGGCGGATGGGCTTGTAACGGCGGGTTGGCTTGACGCAGCAGCGGCGGTGGGTGGACTTGCGGCGGCGGCGGCGTTAGCGGGTGGGCTTGTAATGGCGGGTGGATTTGCGGCGGCGGCGGCGGCGGCGGTAGCGGATGGGCTTGCGGCGGCGGCGTTAGCGGGTGGGCTTGTAATGGCGAGTGGACTTGCGGCGGCGGGTGGGCTTGTAACGGCGGCGGCGGTATGCTATGTTTATTTCTCCTGTGTCGTAACATGACATCTCTCCTTGAAAACATTTGTTCACAGTCCGGACAGGTGGCAACCCCCATGGTGATCCAATACGGTGTGCGATTAGAGGGTATGAAGCTTTCTTTTATACCCTTGACTCTGTTGACGCTTCAAGGCAGCAATTGCCCGTTCCACCACAGCCTTCACCTCCGAGACATGTTGTATTTTCACGGGTTGGGGTGTTGTCTTCGATCCCTGTTGGGTTGTCATCGTTTTCATTTTAGGTGTTACCTGTCTCTTCTTTGTCTTCAGCGTCGACTTCTTGGCTGCTTGTGGTTTCTTTCTCTGTTGTGATTTTCTCAACGTAGTCTTCCTAAATATATCTCTAGGGTCAAGTCTAATCTCTGATGCTTTCTTCATGTTGTTCACGTCCAATCCGTTTGCTGGCGAGAGTAAAACTGTTTGTCGGGCTACACTACTGTAGAGTTTATACTGTCTTACACGTGCAGGGATTCTTGGAAGACACTCTTTTCTTCACAGCACACTTGTGAGTATGTTAAAAAAGCGATCATATTAGTATATAGTCTTCGTCATACTACACCCGTGAAGGTCCCGGGTTATAAAAATCGACCTTCAGTAACCCATGCTTATCGGCGACTGACGGGGATCGGTTGGTCCGACTCGGATGGCACGTGCCGTCGGTTCCTAGTTGCACAGATCGCTGCTCATGCTGTTGATCACTGGATTGTCTGGTCCAAGCTCGTTTATTGACAGACCACCGTCCTAGAGCTGGAATAAAGCCGAGTGGGGCGTAAAACTAAATTCACTCACTCACTGATACCAATTATACATCTAAAAAGTAATGTCATCATCATTTAAATGGTGAGTTTAAACGCGTATTTTACCCTTACAAGGACGAGTGCATTCCACACACCCTTCCTGTGTCATACATTCGTGTTGTGTTGTACATATAGGTACAACATCTTCACGCACATACTTTTCCTACATCATTCAAATGTATTAAATACCGGATACGTTTAATAGACACCAACGAAAGAAAAGTTTAATGAGGGGGGAATACCCATATATATCCTCTCTGAAATAACTCCCTTTTAAAATAACAAATGTACAACACATCTTCCCTAACGTATCATAAATACGGGACACTGCTCACACCATTTATGAATGGGATGCTTCAGGCGAGGCTGGTATGTTGACATTAATTGTAAGGCCGGGGTATGTTGACATTGTTATGGGCGGTCGGTGGCTTAGTCTCTCTGCTATACATTAGCTATGAATAAACCTATATTTCCAATAAAACATTTTCCTCGTGAAACATTTTTCCATGATAAACTCTGTTCTCTCTTCGAATTAAGGGTGAGTATTGTAAACATGAAAATGTGCTATAGATTGCTTCCATCACTTTCCCAACAAACCTAGCTTCGTGCCGTCACATTGCTACATGTAGTTATCGGTTTTCTATCTATTTTCAAAATAATATGTTACACGGTTAAAACTCAAACCGTAGGGCTTATTTGTCATCGTCTCTATTGCGGTATGGTCGTACTTTCAAGACACACCCTGCATTCATCAAACCAACTCGCACGCTCTCGCGAGCGCTGTCAATTTGAAACGACTACGTGAGTTGTAGACTAATTGTAATTTCTACTAACGCTTGAAATAAACGAAACCATTAAACAATTTGAAACGACGTGGTCACGTGAGTTGTCCAGCGCGCTCGATTCAAACTGGGCTGCTTGTCTATTCAGGACAGCACGCCATACGCATAGCTCTATCGAATACCCTTTACTTTTGTTTACTTACGAATTCTTTTCTGTCTTATACACACACACCTTTCATTCCCTCCCCTCACCTGTAACGCGCTGTTGATGCATGAGTCATCCTATCCGATCACGTGACTTGGATCAACCAATCACCTTCGCATCCGCCTGGATCAACCGGATCAACCAAAAAAGGTTCCTGCCTACTGACTCTATACTACTAATGTGTTTCTTCTCTAGTCGGGTGAGGCTGTTGATGGTGTTGAGTGCCACGTCTCCATGTAGACGACGGATGAATTGTTTGATAGGCATTACTTTGAAGCTGGCCGACGTCAAAGTAGACACAATTTATGGATAACAACAAGGCGACGTTTCGGTGTAGATCCTTATACCGTTGTCATCAAGCCTAACGATGAACATGGTACAGAATATATATACAGGTAGTAGGTGGAGGATTAACAGTAGACTATCAGTCTGATTAACTGAGGGGGTATTATATCCCGTCTGCTTATGATGATCTAATCAATTTGTATCCAATGAGCTTGTTCTACTATTTTAATAAGTATCCAGTCAGCTTGTTCATGTATATTGCTAAATTCAAACAATACTCACTGTTCAAATTTTATTTTCACCCTGAAACACTCCTTACATTTCTCGACTTTCTAAAGGATTAAATAATGCAACAATGTGGGCATCTATTAAAATGATCTAATTGTCAGAATGTACATCCTGCACATCTTATGTGAGTAGTATTCCTGAAATGACGTCAAACTGCCGTACACTATTCTCGTCACGTTCAAATACACAATACATATGCGATAACACGTGTTGCATTCCAAACTCCCCGTAGGGCAGTGTGTTAGTTTTACGGCATCAGGACAGCTCTTCGCGATGACATCGAGCATTGTGTTCATTATATTTGACTTTGTGAGGTTACCAGAGACAAGGGGGTAGACAGAGACAGGTAGGTACCTTTATAAAACATCTTGTATTTCCAGTAACAAGTGTATTTTATGCATAAGGGAAATATAACTAATCATAAGTTAACTCAGTATGATTTATTTAATATCCGTTGTATAACCTTAAACTGAGTATGATTTATTTGATATCCGTTGTATAACCTTTAAATCAATATGACTTATATGATATCCGTTGTATAACCTTTAACTCAGTATGATTTATTTGATATCCATTGTATAACCTTTAACTCAGTATGATATATTTGATATACATTGTATTACCTTTAACACAGTGTACTTAGATAAGTACTCGCGGCGAATAGCTGTGATATCTCTGATGCGACGTAAAGCAATATCTATTCACTCATTCCTTATATAAGTGACGGGGGCACGGGTTGCCCAGTCGTCTAAGGCGCCGCGATTCGCTGTGCAGAGTTGCGTCACTTGGGAACGCCAGAAACCTATGATTGTGGGTTCGAATCCCGGTTCGCCCTGATTATGTTTCTAGGTTTGTCAGCACCATACCCGTGCTCGTGGGTTTCACCGAAGTGGTTAACGTCTAAGACCTGCATCACTTCGGGCTTTCCTCCCACATTAAGCTGACACGCCGCGATATAACCGGAATAATGTTAAATGCGGCGTTAAACCCAACTCACTCACTCACTTATATAAGTGACGTTTTATATGAACAAAGTGCAATGTCATGGTATTATATAATGTTCCCTGTAATCGTATTACAGCATTTCAAGTTGGAAATGGGACTTAGGACTATATACCTCGTCCTATCTTTCGCCATTTTGATGATTCAAGGGGAGATAACTCCTCCATGTCCATGCGCCAGAATGAGGACAACCCCTGTGACGGAGCAACTCGCCACCACTGAAAGCATGAAGGATGTGGTCGAACCGAAACGGAAATGGAACCTCACGTTCTCGGATCGACCACCTCTGTTGTTTGTGGGACTTGAAGGAGAAACCCACGAGTTCTTATGTTCGGGAGAATCCTCCATCACCATGGCTACCACAACGTGGCAAGTACCCAATCATGTGACTATCTCAATGATGAACGATACCTCATCATACCGAAGTGGAGTATTTATAACACCTAATAACTCGCTCGTGCTATACAAAATGTCGACCAATCACCGGGGTCGTTACATATGCCGGTTGTCCTTTGATGACGTCATAGCGGAAGCTCCAATGCAGCTCATGGTCGTCGAGGCAGATATGAGGAAGTGGACATTAAGGGTGATAATAGGGGCAGCGTCCCTGGCCGGATTCTTAGTGACGTATGCCGTGGTCCACATTGGCTACAAGGTGTACTTGTGTAAGGCCAGTGGTCAGTACCTTGACCCCGACTTTGGTGCGCAAGTACCTTTGCGACAGTTGTAGATCAGCCGGATGCAGTACTGTTCACCGTTCTTGTAATAATATTGGTTCCACTCGGGTCCACTCGGGTCCTCTCGGCTTATTCCGTACATAATACCCTGGCAGTCATGAAGTAGTGATTTCACAGTAGACCGCTTCAGCCCTCATTCCGTGAAATAAAGTTCGTATATAACACTGACGCCGTTTTGAAACCAGGTTAATCTGTGTTTAACAGAAATTAGGTATACACTTTCGCTTGAAGAGAAGAACAGACGCTGGTACTTTAGACAGTTATATAAGAGTCACGACTGCCTTCAGGTTGTGTTGTGTCATGTGATAGTCACGTGAACAAAAATAGTTCCAATATGGATTCCTGCCCGTGCTGGCCGAGTCCTATTGAACTGAAGTATGTGCGACAGGGATTACCTCCTAGAACAGAAGTGTCCCTCCCCTAATAGGGAAGCTATGTTTCAAGGCTAGTCAGTGTAGCCTTGGAATATCACTACATTATCTTCCATACTGTAAAAAAGGATAAGATGAGATAATAAGATAATGCCTTATTGCCCGTAAGGGAATTCTTTTTACACCAGAACACCATACATGTTACACAAACCATAATATATACAAAAGGAAGAGGATTTATGGATGCCAACTTCTTTATTAAGAGGAACACAACGTTTCGGACTACATGTATATACTTACTCCTTCATCAGGTTACACAAAATATAGTAGTTGGCATCCATAAGTTCTCGTCCTCATGGGTATCACTTCTAAGTTCCCTTCAAAATCAGAACACACACATGGGGATGAAACGAATACAATTACAAATTTAAAACAGACGTAACATGAAACAACAGTAACAGCATTAAAAGGGGTAAAGGCAAGAGCTGCAAAAATATGGAACTCTTCACGAATGTGCACGTCCTCCAAAGCAACACAAACCATGTGTACCATTAAGATTCCAGCCACCGGTTGCAGTTTTCCTTTTCAAAATACCAAATTTTAAATAAGTAGATTATAATTTAAATTCTATTCAATGTGTAATAGCACCTAGTTGTCGGGGTGGTTAACACACAACAAACGGGCTACAGGGTGTGAGCTGATGGCTGTTTATTCTCTCAGAAGAGGTGAATAAATACGGCCTGCAACAATGTATAAATAATAAGACATACTGCATACAAGACATAGAACATTGACATTGTTATAATATACATAATGGCCTTAAATCTAATGGACATTCAATTATATGAACTTAAAATAGCGAGAAACCTATGTTACTCATGTAGGAAGTACCCTGCACAATGATATATATATATTATATATGCTTATGACCCTATGATCAGTTTTAACTAAACATAAACACTGTCTACTCTCATAACACTAGACAAGTATAATACTACATGATAATTACAAAGATATACGTCATATAGATACATACATTTATACATTCATGAATAACACATAAACAATACATACCAGATTGGTGAAACCTGTGCCGTGTCACCAAGGCTTCCGAGATTGTACCAGTTACATCTGCATTGACAAAGTATAAACTAATGCAGATACTATTTACACTATAATTATACACAACACATAAGTAAAATAGGTATTTAGAATAAGGATTGATCAATTACTTAAATAATGCACTTTCACACATACGCATACATTCTTATACACAATTAACACAATTACCTTTATGTGATATGAGGTATAGAATTACTACAGTTTATTTAGGGTTTAGTTTTATTTAGTTAATGTTCAAGTAAAGATAATAATAGCCTAGGATAAATTAGCTATTTATCAATTAAAGAAACTGCTTTTTAATACTTTATCATATAAAATAATCGTAACCAGAATACACTGAACTGTGGATTCAATACACAACCTGATTAGCAATAAACCAAGCACAACTTATTTCTAACTTTAAGAATTAGAAATACACAAATACATATAAAGTATCACACAAGAAATATACTACGACTAACCTTCAAATCCATGAAATAATCACATCCATTGGATCCATGAATACAAGACAAGATCCATTCCAAATATATACAAAATGACTATGAAGTACATACGTCAAGTGTAATCTGGCAACTGCCTCAGATCACAAGCAAACAAAGGTATACCTGTGGTCAGCTGTGAGTGACCACAGAGAACAACAGAGTACTCTATGCGCGGGGTGGAATACCAAGCGCTGTGGGTGAAAAGCATGCAGTGGTATAGTTAGTCAAGGCTGGATAAATAATAGACTGAATGAAACAGATAAGCTGTGGTATTAATGTTTAAGTTGAAATACAATTATATGGCAAAAATAAGACATAGTAAATAAACTATGTACTTAATTCAAATATGAAATAGAATGTGTATAAAACTATAGCTAAAATAGAATTAAAACCTAACTTGTATGTACAAAATATTACTCTGCCACAAATGTGAAATGCATCCATGCATATATCTGGTAATTTACACGTCTGATAGTTGAACGGATGTTGAGATATTAAAGTGTGAACGTCAGATTTCGTGTCTGCTTACAAGAACATGCTTGGTCATTCAGTTGTGTCCAAGACGGCAGTCCAACGCTTTTTCTTAATAAGGTGGCCTTGGAACTATATTGAAAAGGTCAGAATATTGTTCTCAGGCGAGTAGAAGTTTGATGGGATTTTGTTTGTTTGCTGTTTAACGCCGCACTCAGCAATATTCCAGGTATATGACAGCGGTCTGTAAGAAATCGAGTCTGGACCATACAATCCAGTGATTGACATCATGAGCATCGATCCACGCAATTGGGATCGATGACATACATCAACCAAGTCAGCGAGCCTGACCACCCGATCCCGTTAGTCGCCTCTTACGACAAGCATAGTCACCTTTTACGGCAAGTATGGGTTCCTGAGGACCTATTCTACCCCGGATCTTGGTGGTGGTAGTAGTAGTAGTAGTAGTAGAAGTGGTAGTAGTAGTAGTAGGAGTAGAAGAAGTAGCAGTAGTAGTGGTAGTAGTAGTAGTAGTTGAAGTAGTAGTAGTAGTAGTAGTGGTAGTAGTAGTAGTAGTAGTAGTAGTAGTGGTAGTAGTAGTGGTAGTAGTAGTTGTAGTAGTAGTTGTAGTAGTAGTAGTGGAAGTAGTAATGGTAGTAGTAGTAGTAGTAGTAGCAGTAGTAGTAGTAGTAGTAGTTGTAGCAGAAGTAGTAGTAGTGGTAGTAGTAGTAGTGGTAGTGGTAGTAGTAAAAGTAGTAGTAGTAGTAGTAGTAGCAGTAGTAGTGGTAGTAGTAGTAGTGGTAGTAATGGTAGTAGTGGTAGTAGTAGTGGTAGTAGTAGTTGTAGTAGTAGTAGTGGAAGTAGTAATGGTAGTAGTAGTAGTAGTAGTAGTAGCAGTAGTAGTGGTCGCATTTTACGGCAAGCATTGGTTGCTGAAGACCTGTTCTACCACGGATCTTCAGGGGTAAGTTTGATGTGAGGCCGACTCATTAAGGCCTTGTTCTTTACTCTCCAGGGGCCTTGAAGAAGGCTGGGAACATACCACTGTCGACATCATTCAGGGATAAATATGCTGAGATATTGAGGATATTGATGACCACGTCTTCTTGTTATTCTGGCTACGTTTTTCAGCAGTGTTGGTGAGTTTCACCAGAGTGGCAAATGCGAAGCCATACGACTCTTATGGCTTTCCTCTCACCCGACACCGGGTAGCCAAGTGGTTAAAGTGTTCGCTCGTCACGCCGAAGACTCGGGTTCGATTCCCGACATGGGTACAATGTGTGAAGCCCATATCTTGTGTCCCCCGCCGTGATATTGCTGGAATATTGCTAAAAGCGGCGTAAAACCATACTCACTCTCTCCTTCACCGCTGACACCATAATATGACTGAAATATTGTAAAAAGCAGCGTTAAGAACGAAACTTACTCCTCCACTACTGTAGTGGCTAAGATTTCTTTTGATAACCTCCTGAGCCTTGTGATAGTGTCACTCCATTGTCTAATTACATCACAGCCAACACTATATGTTCTCGTGGTGCAAATACCACGCGACCCGGGCGGTCGTCACGCCGAAGTCCCGGATGCGATTCCCGTCATGGGTACAATGTGTGAAGCTCATTTGTGGTGTCCCCCGCCGTGATATTGCTGGAATATTGCTAAAAGCGGCGTAAAACCTCACTCACTCACTCCTCGCGACCCGTGAAGATCCGGGGTAGAATAATCTTCCCGCGGCAAGGGTGTTAACTGGCTTCATAAAGTAAGTTAACACCTTGGCCGCGGGAAGATGGGACAGAATAGGTCTTAAGAATATACAGCTAGGCTGCGCGCCTCGTGGATTTCTAACCATTACAACGATTAGACACTGGGTCCTCGTGGTCTCACCTATACGTAGACTGCATTTATACTGCGTGAGTCGCCCTTGCGTGATGCACGAGGAATACGTTCTCTGCCGCTGTTGCACGTGCACCAAGCTCCGTCGCGAGCTGACACAGACATAAGTATATTTCATGTGTCGAGTGATATATCATGTTTCTCTCATCGAGTGACGGGGGAAAGGAGATATTTTCACGAGTGGCGTAGAAACATGATATTTCACTCAACACATGGAATATCCTATCTATTATATACTTTTTGTGTAGTTGTCTACCGGAAATTTTATTATTGCATTACATATGTAAAGCCTCGAAACGTAAATTCTCCCTACCTACACACACGGACGGTTCACCACCCCTTGTATTTGCGACTAAAAAAGTAGTTTCGTGTTTGCAAAATCTTAAAAAAATATAAACGAAAGTAACAAAAATTATTTAGGGGCACCAAAATTCTGTATCACACATATAGATATGATTATATGCAAAATCAACTTTAACAAAAAACATATTTGAAAACTACCTTGCCGCTGTTGGAAGAGAAAGAATACACGCTGGTCAAGCAACAAAAATGGTGATTTGCGAAACGAACAGTCTCGATTGACGAGTTAAGTGAGAAATTTACGGTGTATAACGAAACATTTTCAAGAGAATAACGAACAGCCTGAAGCGATAATAACTCCATAAATTGCCATCTGTCATTACTTTGCTTTGTCAATGTGGAACTAACGTAAAACGGAAGTCAACAGTTTGTGTACGGGCTAGACACTCCCGATGAAGGGAGACATTTGAGGGGAGGTCACTCTTGTATAACAATAGTGTTATTTTGCACAGCAGTGAAATATCAAGTGTTA